CCAGGCTAAAGCCAGTGCTCTCTTGGAGAGCTGATCTCATAGCGAACATAGCGGGAAGAATACATGCTTCCCAGTCCCGTTTGAGCTCGTAGAAAAGAGTTCTCAGTATCCGTTTTAGAACGAAATGCATTACTGCAAAACGTTGTATAACCTAAAGGTTGTAAAACAGGTTTAGGCATTAAAAGCACACATGTAGACACCTTTTTACACTTCTATTCAAAATTTTAGGATATCCGTAACGAAAACAAACTCAAAACAACCAAGTTACAGCCTTATTTTTAGGGTGTTTTGAACAAAGCAAGAAATGCATGACATTTTCTGGCAGTTTTGCTTATATTGCAGGTATACAATAACCATCCTTATGCCAGCAAGGCTTTTACTACTAGCTGCTTCCGGGTCTAGTAATGAATTGAAGCAGGAATTAAACTACTGTGACCGAAACGCAGTGTTCATCAATAAAGCCCGCAAACTAGAAAGACGGAAGGCACAAGAGGAGCGCCGCTTACCCCATAGAGTAAGGGCCTACCCTGTTGTGTCTGTTGCTCTCATCTGTGTCGTTTGCGTAATTAGTGAGCACTCACAAAGTGCAATAGCTTGCCTTAATAAAGGTAATGTTGCGCACAACGGCAAAGCCGTGCCCCCCCCCCCCCCCCCATAATATCGAAGCTTTTAAAGCTGGAGGTTGAGCGTCTGCCACCTGTAAAAAACTGTTCACACAGTTGACTAGCCATAGCCTCCACGTTAACGGGCCATCATGTCCCTTACAAAAATGAACATTGATGTGATGCATTTTGAGCAGGCATGGTTTATTTAGTTACTGTTGCGAATATTCTATAAAAGTGCGTCATGAAAATAAGGAAGGTCACACCTATCGTAACAAAAAATGCGGAATAAAGACGTTTTGATGACCTTGACGCATTTTCGCTCAGAAGGACGGGATCCTTGTTGGATAAATTATGAGCAAAGCTATACTAAGGGGAACCCAAACGCATTTTCCGTTTTATTATCCCCTTCTTTCAATACAAAGTTACTTCCCGAGCAGATGCTCTTCGTTCAAAGCATTGACTTCGTAGACAGCGAGAAATCAATAATGCTGAAATATTTTCACCCGCAGTCTTTTTCCTAAGGCCCGTATTCACAAACGCTCCTTCACTCAAGGGCTCCCCTCGACTTGACGAAGTGAAGGCGGAGCATGCTCCTCCACTCAACGAGCTGCTGCATTTCATGAATGCTCCTCCACACTTCCTTCGCCAAGGGAGGCCTCGGAAATGCTCCCTCCACTTTAGTGAACTGCATAGGCCGAGAATAGCCTCTGATAACAAGAGTATTCGCGATTGTGGTTAAGAAATGCGTATCTATGTATAAAAATGAACGCTTTTCTTCCTCATTCTTTTTTTTATAAATTGACACTACAGCAAAATACACGCAGTTAGAGTGGTAGCATGGTTTCCTTAAGCCTTGAGCTGATAGAGTTAGCGAAACCCCCTCTTCAAGTCTGGCAACAGTTGCGCTCAGGCAGCAGCTCATGGTGTTTCGTCTGCTGCTGAACGTTTCTACGTACTTAGTTTATTTCGTCTCGTGTGCGTCTATTAAATGTACTTTATATTTACGGCAGTGTCTGAGTGCGTGTTTGAGACCCTGCTTACGCCGGGGTGACTAACGAACTACGTGAGTGATGGCAGGAAGCAGAACATATAGTTTGTTGCTATGTTTACTTTCGCTTTCCTGAGAGCCTTCTGCTCAATAGTGTAGCCACCGAACGTGTAGCGGTGGAGTGAGTAATTTCTACTTTATATCACATTATATTGGTGTGCTCTTAGAATTCGCTTCCGACAAAGTTTACTTGCACGTGAATTCGTTTTCGCTGCGGGAGTACGTGAACAGTTCCTGATTTCAGGGGGCTGTGCTATGTTCATTTTTCTCATTTACTGCGAATTTCAACGTGGCACTTTCGTAGTTGTTCCTTTGCATGTAATACAATGTAATACAGGTAATACATGTAATACATGCAGACAATGCTCGCAACTTATATTCAAGGCTACACCAGAGTAGCGTTGATTTGATTGATATGTGGGATTTAACGTCCCATAACCACCATTTGATTATGAGAGACGCAGTGTAGCGTTAAAAAGTAGGCATGGTACACTCGTGGCTGAGCGTTTGAATCAGACTGCTATGCAAATTAAGAAAAGCGATCATGTGCCTTTCTTCAACTAATGGCGAAAACATCATTTTAATGTTGTTTTCTTCAATTAGCAGCATATATAGTCGGTTAACAATGCGTGTTTGTGTTTTTGTGTTTCAATTTTAACATTTTAATCTTCCAAGGATGCCTGAGTGAGCAGTTATTTTTTCACTCTTGTTTTCGCCCTGCATTTGTGGATGCTCTAATATGACAGATTCGAATAGACGTAACTTTTAAATCTCTGTAGCTTCCGTCTCCAAGTTCACACAGCGGCCCCTGTTAAAATTTTTGTCCCGTCTCCTTTATCTGCAAGCTCAGAAGCACATTCGTTAATGAACGAATGACTTTTGCACTAATTTTTTGGCTCTTATTTGTAGAATATGATTTCTGGGAATACCTCTTGAAAATAATCGAGGTTTCTGTGATTCATTCTAAAGCCTCAGCAGTACATAATTTATAGGAGATGTTTTATTCTTTTGTAGATGATAAAATTGAAGGCGCCTCTGACTTTTGACGCTGTTCTGTCTTAAAAACGACCGTGGTGGTTCACTTAACGTGGAGAAAGTGTCGTCAAGAAGCAGAGTATTCTACTCTGCTGATTTAACGAAGACCAGTGCAACAAAGTGGTAAAAAAATGCTCAAGAGTATTGGAGATATCGCGGATATATCTGGTCAAACCCCTGTAAATAAAATATCCGCTATTGTTGCAACATTAGCATGTCTACGCACTGGAACCACGCCATCTCAGTTTTATGGAAGGAGAGCGGTGGTGGTGTATATAAAACAAGCTTGATTTTTGTAGAACTGCTCTTCTGTAGAATCGGAGAAGAGGTTTTTGTGATTCTGTCTCATCCTGAAAAGACGAACATGACGATAATTAGGCATTCAAAAATAAACAAAGTAGATGTTACGAATGTCAAAAGAAAGCTTTATTACATTTGGATGAAGAAGAGTCATGTGGCAAACACAAGCGTGCAACTGAAAAGTGCGCATTAATCAAGCATATGCAGCTGACACACTGTCGAAATAAATTTCGAGATTGTAAGACATCATAGATAAAATCGAAGTAGTAGACACCACAGCGTGTCTTATGCAGTGCAGCTGCACGCATTCACTGCAAATTTTGTCGTTTTGTATACAGTCGTGAAAGCTCTGCAATGCATTGCGAATACGGCACGTTTTAGGAAACCTTTCCTCTCTGTTCTTCCGTCGGCAGCCTGGCCCATGCACAAAAGAGGCAAGACATATTATTAGAAAAATGTAGTAGCTAGAACACCAAAACCGCATTTTTTATTTCTCGGGATGTACTCATTCATTATATTTATTGCGTTAAAGAACCGACATGGTTGAGTTATTGAGCTTTGCCTATTTTAACACATGTTTGGCTCAGGTACTTGGGCAGCTCACCAGGCATATGGTTTTGTAATTCGATAAACTAATTGCACGAATCAATGGTGTAGCCAGCAATTTCTCTTCGAGGGGGGGGGGGGGGTCAACCCTACAAAAACAATCTTATAATGTATCTGCTTTATATCTATTTCGTATGTTTCTGTTTTTATACGCCACTCCATGCATTCTTGCGTGCGTGCACGTTTCACAGAGCACAAGCCTCTGCTTGATTCCCTAAAGCTGGGTGTGGTTGTTTATTGGTATTGTGAGCTGCATAGACACTGTATATCGAAGCTATGTTTCACGCGTACTAGCAACAACAGCACACCTATTGGGCCCAATTGCATTGTATTTTGTTCTTTCTCAACGGTCTCTAATAGTGATTTGACCTGAGGAAAGGGAAAATGAACAAAAAAAAAACAAGAAAAGGAGAGTTTACCTTTTCGTAGATACTGACGATCATCTAACGAAAGTGTGCTTGGCCGTATATTTCGGCTAGGGCAGCAAAAAGTTACCGGAGAGGAAGCCGCTCAGGAGTATGGTGAATGCAGCGTATCGAAAGTTTGTTATTACGTTTCCTCTCAGCTTGTTTGTGAAGTGTGATGATGTGGATTGTGTGGCCCGTGACGGGACGAAGAGGGAACGGCAGTTCTGCTCTGCGGTACGCCTTGGAGGCGAAGAGGAGGAAAAGGAAGCGCGAGCAGGGCGTGCGGCTCGGGCAGTTGGAGCGTGACACAGTTCGAACGGCAGCTGCTGGTCGGCAGTTCGGGTCGCGACATCGCTTAACCAGGCGTACGGCAGCCTTGCGGATCTGGTGAGCTGGCTTCCTGCTTCGGGCTGCGTCACTCAACCAGGTGTCCGGCAGCCTTGCGGACCTGCTGAGCTGGCTTCCCGCTCTGTGGCCGGCGCTGACACGGGGACCAGCAGCATAGTCTGTTCGTGGCCTGAGGTCCTGGGGCCCGAGTGGTGGCACGAGGTGGCCGCGGCTCATGTTGGCGACGGGCCATTAACCTGCACTGCAGTGGCCTGGTGATCTACCGGCCTGCAGCACCACCATCACCACCACCACCACCTCACCACGGTCAAGGCAGCGTGACTGCACAAGGAACACCGGTGACGACCGACCTCGCCGCAGCGGCAACAGTCATAACGGCGAGTAGGAGAGTTCGTGTGCCGAGGCGCGTAGGACGTTTGGCATGTAAATAAGGAACGCTATAGTGTGTTGTGTGTGAATTGTAAGAGTTATCGGTTGTGTTAAAGTCTGTGTTGTGTGTACAGAGTCACCTGACTGCCGGTTGATTTATTCCGGATCCTGGGCCCACATTACACCATAACAAACTTGGCGAGCCTGCCAGGATCCCGCCAGTAACATCTCGAACGCGGAAATCGCCAGTCAGGTGTGTGCACGCAGCACAAGACGAGAGACATGGATCTCGATAAGTTAGCGGCTGTAGCAGCTCAGTTAGGCTTGTCTGGTGCGGAACTTCGCGAATGGATTGAGCGAGAGCAAATTAGGCAGAGAGATGAGCGTGCATCTGAGAGAGAAGAGGCCAAAGAAGCAGCCGAGAGACAACGGTTAGCGGACGAGAGGCAACGGTTAGCAGACGAGAGGCAGCTGCAAATCCTCCAACTTGAGCTCCAGCTTCAGGAAAGTGCTCAAAGTCAGCCATCTGCGGCGGCAGCACTCGCCCCATCGGCAAACCCGTCATGCCTGAATCCGCAGAAGTTACTACCGCTATTTGACGAGCGACGCGATGACCTGCACGCGTATTTGCAGAGGTTTGAACGCGTGGCTACTGGGCAAGAATGGCCAAGAGATAAATGGGGAGTAGCCGTAAGCATGTGCTTAACTGGTGAGGCACTCACTGTCATTGGTCGAATGACTGCTGACGAGGCCCTCGACTATGATAAAGTGAAAAAAGCCCTACTTCAGCGCTTCAGAATCACGGCACAAGGATATAAAGACAAATTTCGGAAAGCCCGGTCTGAAGATGGCGAAACAGGGAAACAACTAGCAGCAAGGATCTCGAGCTATTTTGATAACTGGATTGAGATGGCTGATGTGCCCCAAACATTTGAGGGTCTTCGTGACCATGTTATAGCCGAGCAATTCTTGCGTTGCTGTAATCCGAAGCTGGCCATCTTCCTGAAAGAGAGGGAATGCAAAACCCTTACATCCCTTTCAGAGTGCACCGACCGCTTTCTCGAAGCACAGGGAGTCAATAACATTGGTAAAATTGCAGTTGATACAAAGGAGGCAAATAAACCCGGTGCTATGTCAGAGTATAAACAGCCGAGTTGCTTTCTGTGTCACCGCAAAGGACATAGCGCTCCAGGTTGTCGTGCGGTTCTGAAAGAGTCTGTGAAATGCAAAACATGTGGGCGGCTTGGCCACAAAGCCACCGATTGCAAGGATCAGAGCAAAAACAAGTCGGTGTCTTGTGCCATGATAGAACAGAAAAAACAGGATTACTTCCCTATGGCTAAGTCCAAGGATGAGACATGCGCTGCTGAATGCCCCAAGAAGTGCGAGAACCAACCTATGTTTTTAGTCGACAACATGCCAGTGGTCGAAGGACGGGTGCTTGGACAACGTGCACGTGTCTTACGAGACACAGGGAGCAACACGACCATCGTCCGACGCGAGTTCGTGCCGGATCGGTGCCTGACCGGGAAGACGGCAAGAGTTATGCTTTTGGATGGAAAGGCCAAGAAACTACCGGAAGCAAACATACAGATACACACGCCCTACTTCGTTGGTGATGTAAACGCTTTATGCATGACTAACCCTTTGTACGACCTCGTGCTCGGCAATATTCCAGGAGTAAAAGGACCACAGGAGCCAGATACTACCTGGGAGTACTCTGATGCCCTGTTCCCTGAATCGACTGGTTCGAGCAAAATCCCGGCATGCTGGGAAAAGTCAACCTTGCTTTCTGCCGTCGTACGGACGCAGGGGAAGACGGAGAGTATGATGAAGATTCCGCTAGTTGGTTCGCTAGAAGTGACCCGAGTGCAGCTAACTGAGAGCCAAAAAGACGACCCAAGTCTGAAGAGTTGCTTCAGCAAGATTGGGAAGGAGTTTCACTCCAATAAAGACACGACGTACCACTTTTATGAAGAGGCTGGTCTACTGTATCGACATTACCGCCTTTCCACGGGGAGGACCTTAAGCAAGTAGTCGTGCCAAAGACACTTCGACAACACATTTTGAAGGTTGCACACGAGGGCATTATGGCTGGTCATTAAGGCGTGCGACGTACCACAGACCGTATCCTTGGGGATTTTTACTGGCCAGGTATGCATGAAGAAATCAGACGGTTTGTAGAGTCGTGCGACGTCTGCCAGAGGACAACGCCGAAAGGGAAAGTCGGAGTCGCTCCGTTGGGCAACATGCCTCTCATACGGACACCATTCCAAAGAGTCGCCATTGACCTGATCGGACCGTTATCTCCTCGATCAGATAAGGGAAACCGCTATGTGCTTACCCTCATTGACTTCGCTACTCACTATCCTGATGCAGTAGCCCTACCCAGCATCGACGGTGTCAGTATTGCAGAAGCCCTCCTTGAAATATTTTCCCGAAAGGGCCTGCCTCGAGAAGTGGTTGATTGATATGTGGGGTTTAACGTCCCAAAACCACTATATGATTATGAGAGACGGCGTAGTGGAGGGCTCCGGAAATTTAGACCACCTGGGGTTCTTTAACGTGCACCCAAATCTGAGTACACGGGCCTACAACATTTCCGCCTCCATCGGAAATGCAGCCGCCGTAGCCGGGATTCGAACCCGCGCCCTGCGGGTCAGCAGCCGAGTACCTTAGCCACTAGACCATTGCGGCGGGGCCTCGAGAAGTGGTTACCGATCAAGGTAGAACTTTCACGTCGGAACTCATGAAAGAAGTGGGCCGACTACTAACTGTAAAGTTTTTTCGTACCACCCCCCCCCATATCATGCCATGGCGAATGGATTGGCCGAAAAATTCAACGTTACGCTGAAGGCCATGCTCAAAAGGGTGTGTCAGGAGAAGCCGGGGTCATGGGATCGCTACATTGGTCCTCTTCTCTTCGCTTATCGCGAAGTACCGCAAGCCAGCTTGGGCTTTTCACCATTTGTGTTAATCTACGGCAGACATGTGCGTGGACCTTTGAGTGTTTTAAGAGAGCTGTGGACGAACGAGAACATTGAGGATGAAGTGCGAACAACGTACACTTACCCTGTGGACCTTCGAAACCGACTCGAACACACCTGTAACCTCGCTCATGAAGAGCTTGGTAAAGCACGTGAAAAGCAAAAGCTTTATTACGACCGTAAGACCGGCCACAGAAGGCTACGGCCCGGTGACAAGGTTTTAATTCTCCTTCCTACAGACACCAATAAGCTTCTCATGCAGTGGAAGAACCCGTTTAAAGTTGCTGAAGCCAAGAATGATGTTGATTATGCAATTGACTTAGGGCAGAGCATCAAGGTCTTCCACGTGAATATGCTGAAGAAGTATGAGGAAAGAGAAATAACGTCTCCTCATCAGGTGGCTGAAGTGAATACTACAAGTGCAACACCTGGGGCAGAGGCGAACAGTGAGAGCAATGACTCTGAGCATACCATCCCCTCTCTCAGTCTATGCCAAACACAAACGGCATCAGACGTCAAGATAGCGCCCAAACTGCAGACAGACCAACTTCAACAAGTTCGACAATTGTGCTAAGAGTTTGCAGTCATATTTTCGGACCTTCCCGGCAAGACACAACTTGTCGAATGCTCTCTTGACCTCGTCATCGAAAAGCCGGTTCACGTGCCTCAGTACCCGATTCCTCTAGCGCTGCGTGAGAACGTCGAAAAAGAGGTACAGGAGATGCTTCGAATGGGCATAATCCAGAAATCAAAGTTGCCACATCATGCGCCGATCGTTGTCGTCAAGAAACCCGACAACACCATACGGTTGTGCATTGACTTTAGGGAGCTGAACAAGACCTTGGTTTTCGACAGTGAGCCAATTCCGAGAATTGATGTTGTTCTAGCTCTTGTGGGGAAACAGAAATTTTTCTCGAAATTCGATTTCACGAAGGGCTATTGGCAAGTGCCCATGGCCCCAGACAGTCGTGAACAGACGGCATTTTCAAGCATGTCGGGGCTCTACCACTTCAAATACATGCCTTTTGGGATTAAAACTTCCCCAGCGATATTTTCACGCCTTATAAGGAGAGTTCTAGGCGATTTGCCGAATGTGCATCATTATTTTGACGATGTGGTCATCGATACTAGGACATGGCATGAACATATGGAAGCCTTAAGACTTGTCTTCGAAAGAATCCGCAATGCAAACCTCTCAATCAAACCGAGCAAGTGTGAGATCGGAGAGCGTACCATTACATTCCTCGGACATCGCATTGGCGAGGCGAAGGTGGAACCAATGCTGAAAACGCTGGACAAGATCCTAGCCGCCAAGCGCCCCACGACGAAGAAAGCTGTACAATCCTTTCTCGGTCTTACGGGCTAGTACAGGCAGTTCATTCCGAACTACGCAGAGATTTCCAAGCCCTTGACTGACTTTACCAAGAAAGGCCAACATCACATCGTATCGTGGGGACCGACGCAAGAAAAAGCATTGACCGTGCTGAAAGGCAAGCTCGCCGCAAGTCCCATACTGCAAACACCGGATCTTTCGAAGCCTTTCGTGCTCCGTACTGATGCCTCAAGCACAAGCATCGGCGCAGTGCTTCTGAAAAACAGTGGGGACGATATTTTACATCCGGTTGCTTATGCTAGTCGCAATCTGCTGCCTAGAGAGGCCCGCTATTCCACAATAGAGCGTGAATGCTTAGCGCTCGTGTGGGCTGTTCAGAAGTTCCACATTTACTTATGCGGCAAACCCTTCATTATTCAGTGCGACCACCAGCCACTCCGGTACTTGCAGTCAGCCAAACACGTCAATAATCGAGTGTTACGATGGAGCTTACTAATGCAAGAGTACAGCTTTACCGTAGAATACATAAAAGGCTCAGACAATGTAGGAGCGGACTACTTAAGTCGCATCTGAATTGCTCAAATCTTTCTCCACTTGTGTATTTTTCATGTGTGTTTTTTTTTCATTACGTGCTGTGTGGATCACAACCATTCGGATTCGTGTGAACTTGTTCCCTGTTTACAGACGCGCCTGCACTTTTGCCTACTCACCACCTGGCGTGGAATGGAATAGTTGCTCACAACTATCTTAAGTGGGGGGTGGTGGGATGATGTGGATTGTGTGGCCCGTGACGGGGCGAAGAGGGAACGGCAGTTCTGCTCTGCGGTACGCCTTGGAGGCGAAGAGGAGGAAAAGGAAGCGCGAGCGGGGCGTGCGGCTCGGGCAGTTGGAGCGTGACACAGTTAGAATGGCAGCTGCTGGTCGGCGGTTCGGGTCGCGACATCGCTTAACCAGGTGTCCGGCAGCCTTGCGGACCTGGTGAGCTGGCTTCCTGCTTCGGGCTGCTTCACTCAACCAGGTGTCCGGCAGCCTTGCGGACCTGGTGAGCTGGCTTCCCGCTCTGTGGCCGGCGCTGACACGGGGACCAGCAGCATAGTCTGTTCGTGGCCTGAGGTCCTGGGGCCCGAGCGGTGGCACGAGGTGGCCGCGGCTCATGTTGGCGACGGGCCATTAACCTGCACTGCAGTGGCCTGGTGATCTACCGGCCTGCAGCACCACCATCACCACCACCACCACCTCACCACGGTCAAGGCAGCGTGACTGCACAAGGAACACCGGTGACGACCGACCTCGCCGCAGCGGCAACAGTCATAACGGCGAGTAGGAGAGTTCGTGTGCCGAGGCGCGTAGGACGTTTGGCATGTAAATAAGGAACGCTATAGTGTGTTGTGTGTGAATTGTAAGAGTTATCGGTTGTGTTAAAGTCTGTGTTGTGTGTACAGAGTCACCTGACTGCCGGTTGATTTATTCCGGATCCTGGGCCCACATTACACCATAACATCAAGCATTTGCGCCACGCTTGAAATGGTGTGGTGTGCAAGCTTCATCGAAACACTTGAAAGCACTGGCATCCGCAGTAAGGCCCGTATTCACAAACGCTCCTCGACTCGACCCTTCACTCGAAATGCTCCTTGAGTGGCGTTTTTCCATTCACAAACCGACCTTCACTTGAAACGCTTCCTTCACTTGAGAAAATTTTGGGCGTTTCCTCGAGATTTTCAAGGAAGCGATCGAGCTACCTTGAATCGTCCCTCGAGCCAAGTATCATGGCGGACTACGCGTCGTTCGTCGATTATGTTCTCCGCGTCGACGAGCTGTTTGGCGACGTAGAGGACTGTGTAAGCATACCACGCCAACAATTGAGAGACCGGTTGAACCCCATGGAGCACTTCACAGACAGTGAATTTCTCGCACGCTATCGCTTCACCAAGAGCAGCGTGAAGAAGCTACTTGAGGGCTTGCCATTTCAGGAGAGCTGCAGCAATCGTGGCCACCCTCTTCCACCTGTGATGCAGCTTCTGATTACACTGCGCTTTTATGGAGCGGGTACTTTTCAAGTAGTGATGGGCGACTTGGTGACTGTGTCTCAGCCGACGGTGAGCCGCGTCATCGAACGTGTGTCACCGCTGATCGCGAAGCACTTGTTCCCGGCTGTCGTGAATTTCCCTAACTCCGATGACACGTTCCGTGAGACGATGGTGGAATTCTACCGGATCGCCAAGTTTTCCGGTGTGACAGGGTGCATAGATTGCACCCACGTCCGTATCAAATCACCCGGTGGGCCGAATGGCAAAGTTTACCGCAACCGGAAGGGGTACTTCTCCATAAATGTTCAGGTAACTTGCTCATTCTTCGCTGCTAACGTTGGAAGCGTTGCAGTACTTCTAAAATGTAGTAATTCAACATTAACATTGCACAAGGCATTCCATAAACTGCATATTAGCAAAAAAAAACTTCATGGTAGATAATTCGATTATAAAACCCCGTGCATGCTATTGTAACAACGCGGCGTTTTTTATTATTTCATTTAGCTTGTTTGCAACCCAGTAAAGCTGTATTCACAAGAAAAACCAAATCGCGATTTAAACCCACAGATTGCTTGCTACAACACCAAACATCACATGTTCTCTCGCGGTCCTCGTTCAGTCCGCGCTAAGCAATTCGCGAGATGAGCGAGCAGGCCCAGGTCCCATTTGCAATGCTAGGGGTGAAGTGGAAGGGGGGAAATGAAGTTTTTGGTTGCAGTGGTAATTCACCCCTCTCGTGCGAGTGCTGGCTGCGGAGCGATCCGAATAGCGTCACATATATTGCATGAGTGTTTCGTCTGCGATAACGCCTGTCCCGTGAATGCAGCTGATATTGGCCCACAAATGGAATAGCTTTAAATTTTTATGACTGTAGCTTTGCACTCTGAAACAAAAGTGAATACTACAGCACTGAAACAAGATCACGCAGGCATTAAGTACGTTGGTAGTAGACGGCTGCTTCAGCACAAAAACACAGTATAACACGTATTGCATATTTAATAGGTGATTGCAGGGCCAAAGCTACAATTATACGACGTCGTTTCGAGCTGACCGGGATCAGTGCATGACAGTCGTATTTTCGACAACAGTCGTGCAGGCGTTCTGTACGGGAAAAAACGAGTACCGGGTCTCCTACTTGGCGATGCTGGATACCCCTGCACGTCTTTCCTCATGACCCCGATGGCTGACCCGCCACCGGGCAGCCCTAAGAGCCGGTTAGTACGCCTGTATAACCCTTTAACTTTCATCTCCAGAACGAAACGTGTACGTGTGTGCTATTTAACGCGTTTGAAGTCTTTTATTGCAATAAGCGTGGTACATGTATCGTTTTTTGTGCCCTGAATATATCCCACGTTACGATAAAATCGGCATATTAGCAGCAGCAGTTTTGACTAGCGGCCTGGCTATAATACTAAAGTGTATCGTTTAATAAGTGTAAGTTCATACAGTAATACGACATTGATTTCTTCGCATAGGTATCAAGAAGCTCACATGCGCACTAGATACACGATCGAGCGGGCCTTTGGCGCGTGGAAACGTCGCTTCCCGTGTTTAGACATGGGGCTACAAAACTTGGCGGAGCGCTCCACCGTCATTACAACGGCCTGTGCTGCCCTACACAACCTTGCAGTCCTAAGGCAAGACGCGGAACCACCACCTGTGATTATCCCACAACACTTAAGGCGGCAGCAGCCTGATGTGGCGAACCAAGCCGACACCCTACTCGGATCTCGATGCCGAATGCGGCTGATTACTTGTGCATTTACCTCGCCTAATGAATAAATTGTGTAACATGTTCTTTTGAGTAGACCAACAACCTCAGATTGGGAAATCTATGCATGTTCAAATACGAGAGCATGCTGAAAAGTTCCTGAATTCGTCACGTTTTAGGTTTTCTTTTCATCCTTGCTGACTCGCAACAATAAAATTTTTTTATCACACATGGAGCTGCCGCAGATGTCTTTTAAATAAAAGCATCAGGTGTGTGAGATTGCACACATGCTTTATTTTTGTTTCGGCTGGGTTTCTATGCGCTGCTGCTGCCGTTTTTCCTGTAATTCAAAAAGGAGCTTCTGGCGCTCGATGTTGAAGCGCCATTTTTGCTGCTCCAGCTGCTGCTTCAACAGCTGCACTTGCATTTTATGCAGCTCCTGCTCCCGCTGCACTTGCATTCTGTGCATTTTTCGTTGGTGCAAGAGCTGCTGCTTACGCAAGCGCAGCTCTAGGGCATGCAGCTGTGCCTTGCGCTGCTTATCAGTTTTCAGTGCCTCCATTCGGGCCGCAGCTTCTGGGGCGAGCACACGCTCTATGGCTGCTAGGCGGCTTCGCGTTGATTTCGGCCGTTGGCGTTCTCCTGCACCAACCAAATTTTCCCGATTGTCTTCTGGAGCTGCTGCTGCTGTTCGTGACTCCTCGTTTCCAGGAGCAACTACTGCCAAGGTGTGAGAGGGACAGCTTGCGCAAGCACCTTCCGTGGGTGGCTGTGTAGTCTGAGGTCCTGAGGAACCAGCACTCTTGCTCGATCGCAGTTGTGGCTGAATTGTCTCGTCTGCACACACACAATACAATTGCATAAAGTAGGGAAACGTAACACGTGTAAGCAGTGTCAGCATGACTGTTAGATTGCTGCTGCAAGTATAAATACATGCGCGTTTTATATCACGCATCAGGCCTGCAAGTAAAAGAGAAGTGTGGCAATTCATCCGGGTCATGCCCGGCCTGTTACTTGCACACATAATTCATAATACTGTTTTGTCCAACCTGAATATCGCTATGGCAGTAGCTAAGAGAGCTTTACTGCGGAATACCTCAGAAGCATTTTATTTAAAATAACTTTACCCGCATCCTTTTTCTGAAGTGTGTGATACACGTTAACCACATATTTCATGCAAAAGGCAGGCTTTATTTTACATAAAACTGTAGATATAACGAATCTTCAATATTCCTGTTTTATGTTAGTCACACAACCCGAGAAGCCATGTCGCCAGCGCTTTTATAGTTGCATGCAGTTGGGCCTTATGACTAGCGGGGCCTGTGCTCCCGATGTCGGCAAACCCATAGCTCTTGGTGACTCCAACAGCTGACCATGGCATGAAATTGGTAGTGTCTGCACATACAAAAGAAGCAGAACTGGTGCTCTGCTGGCATGTGACGTGATCAGAAAAGCCTCTTTATGGTACAGGCACAAATAATTGTGTGTGTCCATGCTTTTACGTGAACACGCGACATTTTTAACAAATCAGTACGTGATGGAAATATAAAAAATAATAACAGTTGTAAATATGAAAATAAATAATGTGAGCTGGTGGCATGCAACACCGTCACTCTGCAAACATACAAGCCCCTTACCAGTAATCACACATAGTGACAGATACTTCATGTGCATGCATACGGTATCAGACACAAACACAATAAGGAAAGTGACTGTACTTCACGAATATGAGTTTCAGTTGTAGCAAAAATATTGAATCAATTGGCGAATTCTATCCCTGGCAAATGAAGAGTACTAGCTCGTGGGCTAGTCAGCCTCTTGCTGCCGGGAAGTGGCGCTGGGAAAAGGGCATCTGCACACAAAAAACAAAGTTGAATACAATTCCAAAGTTGGGCTAATTATAACGCCACCCATGATGTGAAATGTATGTGTCACACAAGTACTTGCTGAACCACGTCAAATTTTGCTAGGAACGTTTTAAAAGACTAATAGCAGGCTTATTACATAGCATTATTTTCTGTTAACACCATGGCATGTTCTTGAAATGAGAATGAGAATTATTTGTACACGTAACTTTTAGTAAAATGGATATGCAAATGGTAGGAACAGAGACATTAGTAACAAAACAAAACAACATTGAAACGCAACACCTCCCACATTGTATACATGCATACGTTGATGCAATATAGCAGCACGACAGTTGCTACATCTGACAGTTTTTGCCCATTCGTCTTTTACCAAGCAGCTCTTCTGTGTTGTCTTGGCTACCAGTGAGCATGCTCTCGAAAATCCGCGACGGCGATAAAGAAAGCACTGGCTGATTGAGGTGGGCTCCATCGCTGTCATACGGGTTCTGGAGCCGTGTCCCCATGTGTGATGCTGCCGCTCCAACAAGTGCCAATGAGGGGCTCATTGGCCGGCAAGTATTTTGCCCGCCCCCTAAGGTGCGAAAATGTTGTTACGTGGATACATTGAAATTTCAAGTGACAGCACAAAGAAAGTGCTTAAGGAAGACAACGCATATGCGAGATAAATAGGCAGCGAAAATTTATGGTACACAGATAACTATTTAATGTACTACTACTACTAACCATTTATTTATTTATTCATCAAACCTTACAAAGCCCAATACGGAATCGAGTAAGAGGGGCTAGTACACAGTAAATAGAGAAATATGCATCAGTAAATACAAGAAAAGAAATTAAGAGAAAAAACTGTACAGTGATTTAAGTTAGAGAAAAATTATGTCCTGCAAAAATACACAGAAATACTGACAAAGTACCCAAAACTTGCACTCAATATATTATATATGTATATAGAGGGCAAAGCACGTTCAAAATGAGCAAAAGCATTTCTTAATTCATAATGTAATGACACACTTGGCACCCGATGGCGAAAAAAAAGTGCAGGAAGATTTTGCCGAAAAAAAATGAACGGTGACGACGTAATGATATTTAAAAAAAATGTTTCTGCAAGCAAAAAACCGTCACCCCCTTCCCCTGAAGGAGAACCCTGTGCACGCCTATGATTCGCACAATTCTTGAAGGTACACATTTATTTACGACATATAATTCAGAGCGGAACCTATGCCCTTATTAGGGCATTTTCGCATAGCTTACGCAAGAGACGCAATTCGAAAACTCATATATGACCCCCATACGCAAACGCTACGCCCACGAGGCCTGCTAACTTAGTGCTATTCGAAAACTCCCCGTTTACAGTAGTAAACAAACGTAAACTTACCTGTGCCATACAAGCTTCGCTTTTCCTCTGACTGCTTCTTCTTCCACTTGGACTTATCATTGTCCCACAACTTACGCAGCTGTGCACCGTAACGCGACGAATGCCTGGTTGGCTGTTGTATTCGCTCGTCAGCTTTTCCCAGGCACTGTCCTTAGCGCGCTTGGTGAGCGCGTCAGTTCTCTTGTTTTCGATAACTGCCTTGTGCCGCGTCACCAGATTGACAAGCAGTTCACGCTCCTCACGCGTGAACACGAACCGCGTTGCGGTGGTCTTCCTGCCGTCACGCGCGACGCCACGGTCATCGTTGAAAGACATTGCACCGTTCGTCACTACGGCACCACGACACGAGGTGCAACAAAACTTCGTTCACGCGTGCAAACGAGTCTTCGCGAAACCGGCATCTAATCCTGGCGACTTCGGCTCTGGCGTGGCTTGGCTAATATGGTGCCTGCCTGATATCGAAACTACCTTATAGTATTTGAACTCTCGCTTAATACTTCCATTGTATACACATTTAATGACAGTCGACATTTTTTTCACCTATCCAAATTGTTTCAACCTAAATTTTTGTTATTTATTGCGGTATTTTATCACATACCCCTCGCTACCAGATGCGTCTTGCGTAAGTCAAGTGAAGGAGCGTTTCCGAGTCGGCCCTTGGCGAAAGAGCCCTCGAGTAGCATTCGTGAAACACATCGGCTCCAAGAGTGGAGGAGCACGCTCCGCCTTGACTTCGTCAAGTCGAGGGGAGCCCTTGAGTGAAGGAGCGTTTGTGAATACGGGCCTGACCTCCGTATTCCCAAACGCTCCTCGACTCGACCCTTCACAGGAAATGCTCCTTAAGTGGCGTTTTCTCATTCACAAACCGCCCTTCACTTGAAACGATTCCTTCACTTGAGAAAATCTCGATCGTTTCCTCGAGATTGTCAAGGAAGCGATCGAGCTACCTTGAATCGTCCCTCGAGTGAAGTTTGTGCGCCAGCATCGCGTTCATGGTGAAGCCCGTCTCGCTTTAACGGCGTTTATCGATCAATTTGGCTGCCACCGCCGCGTTCTTTTAACAGTGACGGTGCACGTTCACTACGGAGCTGTCTTGTAATGGTTTGACAACGGCTACTGTGGCGCCGGGACTAGTGCCGTGGTGTGTTGTGTTTTGTGTATGAGCCAGTAGATTACCTGCCTCCGGGCGTGCGTACACTCGTCGTGCGAGCGCTCGAAGACTTTGTGGACGCCAGTGTTTTCAAGTGTTTCGATGAAGCTTGCACAACACACAATTTTAAGCATTGCCCGAAAGCTTGACAAACAAGCTGCGAGGAAACGTAATAGCCAACTTTCGATGCGCTGCATTCACCATACTCCTGAGCGGCTTCCTCTCCGGTGAATCTTTGCTACCCTAGCCGAAATATACGGCGAAGCACACTTTCGTTAGATGATCGTCTGTATCTACAAGAAGGTAAGTTCTCCTTTGTCTTTTTTTTGTTCATTCCCCCCCCCCCCTGCTCAGGTCACATCACTATTAGAGAGAGTTTAGGAAGAACAAAACACAACGTAAATGGGCCCAATGAGTGCGCTGTTGTTGCTACTACGCCTGACACGTAGCTTCAATATACATTGTCTGCATGCAGCGCACAATACCAACGAACAACCACACCCCGCTTTAGGGAATCAAGCAGAGGCTCGTGCTCTGTGAAACGTGCACGCACGCAAGAATGCATGGAGTACCGTATAAAAACGCAAACAAAAAGAAATAGAAATAGGGCAGATATATTATAAGATTGTTTTTTATGGTTGAACCCCCCCCCCCTCCAAAGAGATATTGCTGGCTACGCCATTAATTCGTGCAATTAGGTTATCGAATTAAATAAGCAAATGCCTAGTGAGCTGCCCAAGTGCCTGAGCCAAACATGTGTCAATATAGGCAAAGATCAATAGCTCAACCATATCGGTTCTTTAACGCAATTAATATAATGAATGAGTGCATCGCGAGAAATAAAAAAAATGCGGCTTTGGTGTTCTAGCTATTAAGTTTTTCTAATATTATGTGTTGCTTCTTTTGTTCAGGGGCCAGGTTGCCGACGGAAGAACACGGAGGAAAGGTTTCCTAAAACACGCCGTATTCGCAATGCATTGCAGAGTTTGCACGACTGTATACAAAACGACAAAATCTGCAATGAATGCGTGCAGATGCACTGCATAAGACACGCTATGGTATCTACTACCTCGATCTTATTTATGATGTCTTACAATCTCGAAATGTATTTCGACGGTGTGTCAGCTGAATATGCTTGATCAATGCACACTTTGCAGTTGCACGCTTGTGTTTGCCACATGGCTCTTCATCAGCCAAACGTAATAAAGGTTTATTTTGCCATTCGCAATTTCTACTTTGTTCATTTTGAAAACATAATTATCGTCATGTTCGCCTTTTCAGGATGAGATAGAATCACAAAAACCTCTTCTCCGATTCTACAGGACAGCAGTTCTACAAAAATCAAGCTTGTTTTATATACACCAGCACCACTCGCCTTCCATGACACTGAGATGGCGTGGTTCCAGCGTGTAGACATGCTAATGTTGCAACAATAGCGGATATTTTATTTACAGAGGTTTGACCAGATATATCCGCCACTATATGATTATGAGAGACGCCGTAGTGGAGGGCTTCGGAAGTTACGACCACCTAGGGTTCTTTAACGTGCACCCAAATCTGAGCACACGGGCCTGAAATGATAAAATTGAAGGCGCTTCTGACGTTTGGCGCTGTTCTGTCTTCAAAACGACCGTGGTGGTTCACTGGACCTTGGAGAAAGTGTCGTAAAGAAGCAGAGTATTTTACTCTGCTGATTTAACGAAGACCAGTGCAACAAAGTGGTAAAAATGCTCAAGAGTATTGGAGACATCTCGGATATATCTGGTCAAACCCCTGTCAATAAAATATCCGCTATTGTTGCAACATTAGCATGACTACACGCTGGAACCACGCCATCTCAGTTTCATGGAAGGCGAGTGGTTCCGGTGTATATAAAACAAGCTTGATTTTTGTGGAACTGCTGTCCTGTAGAATTGGAGAAGAGGTTTTTGTGATTCTATCTCATCCTGAAAAGGCGAACATGACGATAAATATGTTTTCAAAATGAACAAAGTAGAAATTGCGAATGGCAAAATAAATCTTTATTACGTTTGGCTGATGAAGAGCCATGTGGAAAACATAAGCGTGCAACTGCAAAGCGTGCATTAATCAAGCATATTCAGCTGACACACTGTCGAAATAAATTTCGAAATTGTAAGACATCATAAATAAGATCGAGGTAGTAGACACCCTAGCGTGTCTTATGCAGTGCAGCTGCCCGCATTCACTGCAGATTTTGTCCTTTTGTATACAGTCGTGCAAACTCTGCAATGCATTGCGCATACGGCACGTTTTAGGAAACCTTCCCTCTTGTTCTTCCGTCGGCAGACTGGCCCCTGTACAAAAGGCGCAAGACATAATATTAGAAAAATGTAGTAGCTAGAACACCAAAGTCGCATTTTTTTTATTTCTCGGGATGTACTCATTCATTATATTTATTGCGTTGAAGAACAGACATGATTGAGTTATTTAGCTTTGCCTATTTTAACACATGTTTGGCTCTGGCACTTGGGCAGCTCACCAGGCATATGGTTTTGTAATTCGATAACCTAATTGCACGAATCAATGGTGTAGCCAGCAATTTCTCTTCGGGGGGGGGGGGGGGTTCAACCCTACAAAAACAATGTTATAATGTATCTGCTTTATATCTATTTCGTATGTTTCCGTTTTTATACGACACTTCATGCATTCTTGCGTGCGCACACGTTTCACAGAGCACGAGCCTCTGCTTGATTCCCTAAAGCTGGGTGTGGATGGTCATTGGTATTGTGAGCTGCATAGACACTGTATATCGAAGCTATGTTTCACGCGTGGTAGCAACTACAGCACTTTTATTCGGCCTATTTGCATTGTGTTTTGTTTTGACTAAACTGTCCTTAATAGTGATATTACCTGAAGAATGGAAAAATGAACAAAAATCAAGAAAAAGAAGAACTTACCTTCTTGTAGATACAGACGATCATCTAACGAAAGTGTGCTTCGCCGTATATTTCGGCTAGGGTAGCAAAGATTCACCGGAGAGGAAGCCGCTCAGGAGTATGATGAATGCAGCACATCGAAAGTTTGCTATTACGTTTTCTCTCAGCTTGTTTGTCAAGCTTTCGCGCCACGCTTGAAATGGTGTGGTGTGCAAGCTTCATCAAAACACTTGAAAGCACTGGCATCCGCAGTAAGTCTTGGAGCACTCGCACGACGAGTATACGCACGCCAGAAAACAGGCGATCCTCTGGCTCATGCACGAAACACCACACATCACGGCACTGGTGAGCACTCCGCTTGACACCACGCCCGCCTGTCCCGGCGCCCCAGTAGCCCTTGTCGAACCGTTACAAGACAGCTCTGTAGTGAACGTGCACCATCACTGTTGAAAGAACGCGGCGGTGGCAGCCAAATTGATCAATAAACGCTTTCAAAGCGAAACGGACTCCGCCTTGGACACGATGTTGGCGCATAAACTTCACTCGAGGGACGATTCAAGGTAGCTCACTCAAGGAGCGTTTCACTCCCTTCACTCGAAACACCCTTCACACCCTTCACTCGAAACACCCTTCACTCGAAACGCCACTCAAGGAGCGTTTCTAGTGAAGGGTCGAGTCGAGGAGCGTTTTGAATACGGGGTCATACCCGTGGTCACACAGTTGGCCTCCACTACCCTCCATTCAATTCCACGAGACTGCCGCCAGACCTCTCGGGCATTACATATGCTCACATGCACATTCCCAAAGCCGTCTCGGAGCTTACGCCTCCTACCCTCTAACTGTCGCTGAAGGTTCTGACCCTTGGCCTTCAGCACATCATTTTGATCAGCATAAATAATGACGACATTTTTGCCCTCCATGCTGTCCTCTATAACCTCCTCACCTTAGGTCATTGCATTCACCATGCTCTTCCCTGATTTGGCCTCCACCCTCACTCTCCTATCTTCCTTCACTATCGTGAAGACGCCACCCCTGACCCTGGCCACATCGGAGTCCCCCACCACTAAAACCATTCTGCGCTCCAATGGCTAGTTTCCTGTTTGTTTCATCTGTTTCTCTCTTTGCTGTGTGTCCTGTATTCCTGTCCTGCTAGAAGACTTCCACGCCACAGTGTTGTATGTTTTCGGAGCCTCCATGCTGTGGCCAGACACGGCGGCCTCCTGACCTCTCTTCTCGCCTGTTCCTCCCCGCCTGTCGCCTTCTCCGCAACCCACGCCTTCCATCGCACGCAGCTCTGGCCGGGCCAAAGCGCCATTAGCTCCTTTACTTGCTGCTCGAGCTTGGCCCGCCCT